GAAATGTTCTTCTTAGCCTTCTAGTAACTAGAGATTGCCCCAGTAAAAACAAATATTTGCTCTAATCACAAACAACCTCATGAAGACACTTGGACACACACAGCTTCCTGGGGAGCACTTCCCTGACGTGCTGTGCTGCTGCCCCCGCCCCCCGCACCTTTGGGTGCAGGTGGGGTATGCACAGCAGCAATCATGTCTCCTGCAACAAGCCACAGAGGATAAGAAAAAAACTGCTCCGACCCCAACAGGCCTTGAATACAGATTGTTCTACTTGTGTGTTGCATTGCAGACTACCCTCACATCCAGAAATGTTAACAGAAACCCTCTATCAGGTTCAGTGTTCGCAGGCCTGGACTGTGGGCAGCAGGCTGGTGGGCAGTGGCACCGGAGCAGGAGGTGCACCCTGTCGCTCTGTGGCCGTCTCCTCCCAATGAGCAGCTCATTCTCCACGGACTGTCACGTAGCCTGGGTTTTCCACAGTGTGTCATTTGAGGACTCAGGCTGTCTGCTGAGGACTCCAGGAGTGACACGTGGAAGCCCTGATGTGGAAGTCCCTGTGCCGCTTCCCCCGAGTGCTGTCATCAGACTTCCCCTGCAGCTGCCCCAGCTAGGGCAGAAGATTAATTAGATTGTGCCTTGCAGTCTTCAGAGCAGAAAGTCATGAGCTGTGAAGAGCTGCTGATTATAAAACTCCTCTAGGGAAAAAGCCAGCTTTGCCAGGACCGGTTGCCCAGCAGCTGTTTTGAGGAGAAAAAGTTTACTGTGCTTTGTGTTTCTTTCTTCCTTAATGTGGTTCAGTCAGTAAGCCTGTCTCTGATCCCTGCTAGATTAATTACGGTAGCAATACTGCTAATTGTAAATGGACAGTGGTGGCAAGAAGGGGCCAAGGGCCTGGCATACGGGGCCACTATTGTGTGCAACAGGAAACTGCTTCAGACTGCAAAGAGCAGAATACCCAGCCAGACACTTCTTACTCACCCCCAACCCTTTCCTCCAAGGAGTGTGGGGACCCTAGCTCCAGGCTGGGCTCAGCCTCTCAGTGGTGCGGTGCTGCCGGTCTGTGGACCCCTCATGCAGTGCAGGATGGCACCTGGCACTTGGTGGTGACAGAAGGGAGGCATCTCCACCTCTGTGTCACACCCTGAGGCCCACTCTTGGAGTCCCGCTGGCCAGATGCAGCCCTGGAGGAAGCCAGGAGAACCAGAGTTGGTGCTGCGGGCATTTCAGGGAAGCTGACCTGGCTGGCAGCGAGAATGGCACCGGGTGGGCATCGTGCAGTGGCGGCACCTCGTGCTTTCCCTCCCCTGCACAGCCACTGAGGTCTCACTTGGCAGCTGTACAGAGCTGCCTTAAGTGGATGAAATGATAATTATAATAAATTAGTATTTTTCGAAACCAATTCATTTCTCTGTAGGCTTTCTGCCCTTTACTTTGTGGTTGAGAGCTACCCTACTGCTTCTAAACAACTAGGAGATTTCTCTATTTCCCGTATGCTCTAAGAAGGTTTGAATGAAAGCTTTCTGGCTGCTGTGAAAACTTGGGTCTGGCCCAGAAAGGCCCTTCAGCACGCAGCCACGCCAGGTCTCTGGTCCTGTTATGCAGCAGACCCCTGGAGCCTTCACATGTGTCTCGTAGGTTTCTAAGAGAAAGAACATTGTAAGGTAGAAGCAGTGCTGTTGTACAGTCTGGAAACTTGGGCAGTATCTGGCCTTCACTGGCATGGCATGTGTGGGTGCCCACCAGCCTTGTACTGGGGAGGGGAGGAAGGTCCGCCGCCACCGCCGCGGTGGCACTCGGGCCAGCGTGTGAGCTGCCCCTGCCATGGTGCCTTCGGAGGGTGGGGACGTCTCCCTGACAGACCCCCAAGTGGGCTTTAAGGCTCAGGGGCCTAGTTTCCGAACTGAGTTAGGGTAGTAAAGTCACAGCACCATGCCACAGTAGCTGTGCTTGGCCTGGATTACGTGGGCTGCTGAAAGGCCTTTCTGCCCTCCTATCTGGTATTTCAGAATTGGATTTCACAAGTGATTTGGAGAAATTATTATTAAATTATTATTATTTCCCCAAATACCTGAGATTGACTCAAGTCAGTAAAGTCTGTGATTTCCTAGAAGCCTTATTTCTAAAATTCATGTTTTCAGTGTTTTAAAAAAAAGTGTTGAAAGTCATACAGCTAAAATAGCAGCTCAATCCCTTTATGTACGGTCCTTGTAGACTTCACTGTAAGATACAACCTGGAAGAGATAAGAGAACTTGAAGTCCTGCTTAAATGCTGTTTTTATTTTCCCCAACCGTCTGAGTCGGATCCTGTTCTAAACTTCATACCTTAGCAGGATCAGGGGGAGCCCTGGCCCTGGCTCCAGGAAATCTGTGTCTCCCCATCTGTTCCTAGGAATCTAGGTGGTGGCTTCAGGTGCCCACTTTTGACTTCAGGTGCCCATCCCGAGTAGGTGTCAGGCCCGCAGCCAGCTCATCGCCTTTTCCACACACAGTGGGGACCCCCAGGGACGCCATGGTTTGTCAGCCCTGGGACCTGAGTGGGCCAGATTCCTCTCCTGTTTAGGATTACTGGAAGGAGACCCTGCCTGTCTTGGAAGTAATGCGCAGGTGGCGGCCGCCCTCTTCTCCAGAAGTCCTCAGCCCTGTGGCGCATGTGTGCCGCGCTCCCTCTGGGCATGCCCTGCCAGCTCTCCTGCAGGGCCTCTTGTCCCACTCGCCCAGCTCCCCCTAGTGCAGATGCCGCTGCACCGCGGCCCTCCACCTGGACTCTCCTAGTCAAGAAGATGCAGAAAAGGGTTTTCCTAACACGGGAGGACTCGCTGCTCCCTGCCTGAACACCGACAACCTAAAAGATGGCACAAAATTGGAAATTACAAGTTGTCACAAAATGGGCTGAACATTCAGGGGCTGCTGGATGAAGCCTTCGAGGCGTCACAGCCCAGTGTGCCTTCGCTGTTCTGGCACTGGGCACGATTAAATTTTGCTCTGCACAGTTTTAAGGCCTGGCAGTGCTTTCTTGGTCAGTGGGCTCTCGTGTGTCACAAAGGTTTATCACAAGAGTACTTCTGGAGTAAACCACCTTAGAGGATGCTGTCTGTGGCAGTGCTCCAAGTGGCAGGAACCTCGGTCTCCAGGACGCCTGCCCGGGGCTGCTGCATCAGGCTGCAGGTGCGCACAGTGAAGCTGCACCAGTGCGCTGGCCCGGCGTGGGGGTCCAACTGCCAGCCCTGGCGAGCGTGCCCTGCAGTGGGCAGTAGTGCTGATGCTCACCGTGCCGTGCTCTAAGCGCCCGACTTCACGCCCAGCTCGGGGCCCCCGTCAGTCGGAGGAGCTTGGCTGCAGCTGGAACCTGTGCTCAGAATTTCTGCTGTTGGACCAGTGAAAGCTTGTGCACAGAAACCTTGCTGTACACAATCTGTGTTTGCTAAAAAAAAAAAAAATTTTTGTTTAAATTGAAATACTGGTAAGTTGAGTCCATCTTAAATGTAATAGATACTTTTTAAGGACCCTAAAAATAAGTTATTATACAACTCCTCCTTGAATATTGGCTTTGAAAGTTTAGTTCTCTAAATATAGGGTTTTTTTTTTTTCACAGACCACAAGCAAATATGTACTTCCAGCTTTATAATTCAGTTTTTTCCCAGCTTTATTGAGGTGTAACTGACGTGTTTTCAGGGGTACAGCGTGATGACTTGCACCGCACTGTGCAGGGGCCGCCACCATCAAGGTGACGAACATTCCATCCCGTCGCTCCCTGAAACTTAAATTAAAAGTTGTTCTTTTGTCAGTTTGGCTTGCAAACAAGGTTACACCGATCCCGTTGAATTTGGAAGATTAGGCTTGTCAGTGGAGCTGAGCGCTTTAAGAAGTATTTGTTCAGATTCCCAATCATATTTTCTTTTCTTTTTTTTTTCTTTCTTTTTTTTTTTTTTTGCAGAACTGGGGATTGAACTCAGGCCCTTGCGCTTGCTGGGGAAGCGCTTATTCCACTGAGCCATCTCCCCGGCCATTTCCAACCATATTAACCATTCATATTATCTTGAATACTTGCATTATTTTAATAAAGCACATAAAGTAAGCATCACTGGAATCATTAAGTTCCTCAGGGGTAAATTATCAAGCAACCATGAGATCAGCCAGGGTAATGTCCAGGATGATCGGAGCGTACTGCTTATCGCTGTACGCAGTTGCAGTTGTCAAATGCAAACGTGACAGTGCGTGGTCATTAGTGTGCCTTCTGTGGCTGGTGGCTTCTGAATGCTGTGTGGGTCCTCTTACAGTGTCATTCCGTAAATGTCCACTAGAAAGGCTTGTTAAAGTTTTATTTATTAGACTTAATGTGAAATAGTGGAAATGAAGATAAACTAAGTTAAAGCAATAGAGAAAATATAATTGAAACAACTTGGAGTATAAATTAAATCAACTTCTTTGTTGATATTAAAATGACCATAACTTAAAATGTGTTCAAATATATCACTGTAAGGAAAATGAGAGGAATATTTTATCATTCCTAGATTATTTGAAAAAGAATCTTTGAGATTACAACGTAATGCAGATATGGCTGTCATTAGCTAAAACTTTTATTATAGAAATCCTGATAGAACATTGAAAGTTCTTGTCTTGTGTATGCTTGTCTTCATAATTTGTGAAAAATGATACAGCAAAATGTTGGCAATTTATCTATAATATGAAATAGATTTTAAAATTTTAGATAAACTATAATTAGTTTAAATTTTCTATCATTGTCTATAGGTGGTTTGAAGAATTGTGTAGCTTGCTGAGAATGTTATTCAGTCAAGTCTTGCAAACTAATAACTAACTTTGAGTTAAGGAAACTATCACTTGCAGTAAGATACTCGATGAAGCCTTACTGTGGCTGCCAGGCTCCGCCTGATGCGAACAGGCTCACTGCGTAGGTTGTCCTCGGTGACTCTGCAGTAGAAAATGCGTGCTGCGTTGTCACAGTGAAGCCCTAAGGCCTCTCCTGCTTCTTGCACTCCTAGGCGATCAGCTGCAGGGGCCAGCACAGCATCTCCTACACGCTCTCCAGAAACCAGACGGTGGTGGTGGAGTACACCCATGACCAGGACACGGACATGTTCCAGGTAACGGCTGGCGTTCGGAATGAAAACTTGGTCCCCTTCTTCCTTTACTTCTGTATTTTGATGTTGAACCAAAACGTCCAGCACAGTGGTGTTTGATGATGATTGGGGGAAAGAAGTAAGGATACTAGGGAGTGTATTCCTACAGTGTTTGATTTCTGAAAGATTAAAAAAACCTTAATTCTGAAAATACAAAAAAAAATTTATAAAGGACACATTCTTATATAATGGTACAATGAAAAGTTATTAATAGCAGAAATAGAATGTTTTAAAGCCAGTCAGTTTTAAAAGCCAGCATACTGAAAATACTTCCAAATAACCTGAGTCAGTGGCGACGTCACAGTACAGCCTGTCAGAAGTGACAGGAGCACCAGACAGCAAGACTACGCCGTGCGGCCAGCTCTCACTCTCCTGCAGACACTGCAAAGCTTAAGTGCTTTTATTATTAAAATTTAAGAAGGTAAAGGAAAAAAATCGAAGCAATAAACATTTGTCTCAAAAAGTATTTTTAAAAACAGTCATTATAGGTGGGTTTAGGAGTAATTTTAGTGGTATATAACAGAAAATTCCCAAAGAATGCAGAAAAGAAGAATGAAAGCACCCCCATCATCAACTAATGAATTAAAAAAAGAGGAGACTTTATAAATGTGTACTAAATTTGCTACTTTAAAATAGCAGAAGAGGGCTGGCAAGATAGCTCAGTAGACTGAGTGTCTGCTCTGGGAAGTGCAGGGACGGGGGTTCAGTCCCCAGTCCCACATGCCACACCGGCCGTATCCCCAGGGCACACTGGGCTGAGCAGGCCACCAAGACCGGACGTGGTGGCGCACACCTGTAATCCCATCACAGGGGAGGCTGAAAACAGGAGGATCACTAGGAGTCTGAGCGGCGGGGTGAGGCCTTGTACCAAATACAGAAATGAAAACAAAAAATACTAAAATAACAGAAGATTAAAATTTAGGCTAATAAAGGAAAACAAACATAATTTGGGAACAAAAAGACACTGCACTTTTGTATGGAAAATTAGATCATTAATATTAAAAGAAATGTAAAATAATTATGACAGACACAATATCATATGCTTTGCTGACATAAACTCAGAAGAGTCTAAGTATTTAAATGTAAAAATGAAGGCACTTAGGTCATGGAACGAAATTTAAGTGACTGTATGTCCTTCGACTAGGGCGTGAGTAATAGCATCTGAAGAAGTAGATTTTGCTTTATACATCTTACCTTCTTTCTAAATGTGAAAAAACGGAAGACAAACTACGAGATTGTCTTAGGAAGACATTCAGGTTCAAGAATAAAATATAGGAAACACTTTTCCATGTTTTAAGAATGGTCAAAGAAAAAAAGTACAAATCTCAAAAGAAGATCCTATAAATACATAAAATAATTTTAAAATATCAAATCAACAACTCCTGTATTATCTGTACTAATTTAAAAGCTACAAACAAAGCTCTGCTTCCAGCTGTCGGTGAGGATGGCACCACAGGGCACGTGTGAGTGCAAGACACCGTGTAGCCAGCAGTGAACATTGAGCAGAAATTACAGTAAGAAGAAAAGCAGGTTTGTGCCCAGTCTGCACTCGCGTTCTGTGCACACGTGAACCAGAGGAATGGGCTGTGAAACGAGCTCCCACCGCTGCAGCCTGTCTCCCGTGACCTCCCGGCGTGCACCCTGACCCCGGACCACCTACATCTCTCCCTTTGGTCAGGATCAAAAGAGAATTAAATTCTGTATCACTTGTAGAAGTGTGCGTAGTGACTGTGAACATGAGCACGGCAGCCTACAGCGGAGCTGTCCGTTGCCTCTCAGCGTTGTGTTTCCACATGTTTATTAAGTTAAAAATTATTAGCAAATGCACCGTAAATCAGCCATCTGGTGGGGGGACATTATTTTAGAATCTCATAAAATTTTAAGATTCAAAGGTTTTTCTGTAAACTATTTGAAGAAAACATGGGAGAGTGTGGTATAACTTCAAGTAGGAAACACTTTCTAATTCTGAAGTACGACTCACAAACTGTAAAGGACATCGTTGCTAGTTTTAGATAAGTTTCTGTGTGACCAAAAATAATGAAAACAGAAGACAGGTGTGAACTGGAAGACATACTTACAGTTTGGGTTGCAAAGAGCCGACATCTCAACCGTGTAAGTACTCCCGAAGTCACTAAGAAGAGGCCTGCCACGGAGCAGACAAGTCAGCCAAGGACTTGGCAGGGAGCTGCTCCAGAAGAGAAAACACATGGCTCTTGCAAGTAAGAAAATACGCTCAATGTTGTTTCTAAGATACGTGAATTAAAAGTCACAGAGTGACTGTTTTATTACTTATTCGATTAGAAAAATGAAATGCTTGCCTGCTGTGACTCAGCTCTTGTGTTTATAAGACTCTTCTCTTTCTAGAGTTTTAGCAAGAGACACTCTTAGGTATGTTCAAAATAAAATCTCTACAAATGGAGGCCAGTTCAGTGCATTTGGGAGCTGAAAGAACAGAAAAGGTTTTGTACAGATTAGGAAAAGCTTGGAGGAAAAAAAAAAAGCTTGGAAAGAGCACCAAGCATACTAAATGGATTAATTACTAATATCGTAAAATGTATTGAATCTTGTCAGTAGTGTTTGATTCTGTTAAAATTACTTAACATCAAATGTTAACAAATAAATAATGTATTATAGATAGTAATATTAAATTTTACGTTAAGCATCAAACCAGGATAGCTGAATGGTTTTAGAATGCTTTAAATGCATTAAACATTTCTGGGCCACACAAGACCTTGCTCCCATGGGTGCTTTGTTGAGGAGGGGCTGGGTGGTGGAACAGGGGATGGCTCACACTGTTGGATTTTAGGACTGTGTGTGTTAGTTGTTACAAGAGAAAACCTGAACAATCCTAGACAGACACATGGCAGGCATAGTCACAGAGACATAGTTATTTAATGCCAGTTTAAACTAAGCAACAATTGTCTTATTTTGACAAAACATTAACAGTGGGACTGGGGAGATGGCTCAGTAGAATGAGTGCTTCCCTGGCAAGCACAAGGGTCTGAGTTCACTCCCCAGTTCCGGGGGGGGGGGGGACCACAAAAACATGAACAGTGGTTTTATTGAGCATGCTGTTCTAATGTATGCTTTTCCAAGTGTCCTCCTACCAGAGTAAACCTTGCCCTAACTACACACACACACACACACACACACACACACACACACACTCATTCATACTCACTTCTTCCCTTTGCCCCTGAGAACTCTGGGCCTTTGGGAGGAAGGACTTGAGCTAGGCTTAGAGAAGTCTTTGGTGACAGGCCCAAAGCCCTAGATCTTCAGAGTTCTCTGTTCTGTACCTGACACCAGCCCAAGTTCTTCAAATGACATGCAGTAAGCTCAACAAAAAATGTATATACTTCTTAAGAAAATGTAACACATTTGTCACTTTTACAAAAGTAATTTGAGGCCATCCACAGACTGACTGGATTTATGGGGGGTTAGTGCCAGATCATTTAAATTTAAAAACAACTCTCAGAAGACCTTGAGATGTCTTTTCCCCCATAACAAATTGGTAGGTCTAGGGCCTGCCGCTGATGAAACCACCGAGGACAAAGCACCGCAGCACTCGTGGTCCCCTGAGTCGGCCTCAAGGGCTAGCAGAGTATCTAGAAGCCAGACATCGGAAGCAGCCAGAGAAGGACTGGGCAGAAGTGAGGACAGGACTCACGAGTGAGACTCTGGATGAATGTAACCTAAGAAGGGCTGAGTAACTGTGGGAGAGTAGGGCGAATAATGAAGCTAAGAGAGGGCCCTCGCCCGCAGAAGGAATGACAGGGTGACAGATGTCCCCACCGCCCCCCCAGGAATGGCGAGGCCAGTGCGTTCAGACCCCCAGACTGGCCAGGTCCCAGTGGAGCTGCTGCAGTGTCCCTCCTTGCTTGGCCTCACAGGGTGGAGCCTGGCTGCTGTGATGCCTGGTGTTTTGGGGCTTTGCTTGATTGAGTTTCTTATTTTATTGTAGATTAAGGTGTAGCATTTAATTAGCACCCTTTAGTTCAAAAAAACTGTTCAAGATACATTTTGTCAGTTGTTTCTCAGAAGGTAACTTGCAGGGTGTGTGTGTGTGTGTGTGTGTGTGTGTATGTGTGTGTGTGTGTGTGAGTGAGTGACAGAGCCTAAGCTCCCCATGGTCACCCTCCACTCATGGTTTTTATTTCTTGGGCACCTGGCGTGTCAGCCTGTCCTTTGGCTTCTAGGGAAGTGAGCTGAGGATCTGAGATGGGACAGGCACTTTCCCAGCGGCTACAGTGCAGGGATATGTCAGCAGGACAGGCAGGCTGTGGGGAAGAGGAGAGGCATGTGGGGCCAGGTCAGGACCCCAGCGGGTGTCAGGGAGGCCTTTGTGCAGGAGTTGGAAGTTGTGGCAGAGGCCCTTTGTGGAGAAGTGTGTCCCACGCAAGTGTGAGCGCAGGGGCTTTGGAGGCTGAGCTGGTGGTGACTGGAGTGGCTGAGCTGTGACCTGAGGGACAGCTGGAGGGGTCAGAGGAGTGATGTGGGGAGGGGTCAAGAGGGGTGATGTGGGGAGGGGTCAAGAAGGAGTCCTACATGTGACTTTTAGCTGGAGCCAGCTGTAAGCTAGTCAGTCACTGTTAGAGGAAAACCGAGGAATGAGAGGAAGTGGACGTCCTGCCCGTCAGCGACACTGCTTTGCATCAGTGGAGACTGAGGTGCTATATGGCGCTCCAAAGAACCGGACTTCGGCTCATAAATGGGCCTTGATGCGATTACCTAGGGAGAGGGCAGAAGGGGAGTGGAGGGCGGGCACGTGCTCACTGCTGTCCGGCAGGTCCAGGGGTGCTGGCTGACAGAGCCCTGGGGCCTCGGAGCCCTTTGTGCAGGGTCCTGGAGTACTGCAGAGGGCGGAAGCAGCAGGAGTGGGGGTGGTGGTAGGTATGGCTGGGTGGAAATCTGAGCCTTTGACCAGAGCTGAAGAGCTGCTTGCAGGCAGGCAACTATTTCTGAAGAAGGGAAACTCCCCAGGGTGCAGTGTGCCAGCCTCTCATCCCAGCTCTCCGGAAGGCTGAGGCAGGATTGCAAGTTCAAACCTAGCCTAGGCAATTTACCAGCTTAGGCCCTATCTCAAAATTTAAGAAAGAATTTGGGATGGAGCTCATTGGAAGGCCGAGAGAGAAAGAGACAGAGACAGAAAGAGCTCAGTAAAGTGCAAGGTACTCAGACTGTCGCCAGCAGTGGCACATGCTTGCAGTGACAGTTGAGTTAAGGAGCACAGAAGAGGAGACGTCTGTGGCAGTTAAGCGTTGCTGAGACAGCTAGGCAGGGCATGCTTCGCTAGTGCTCGTTTCTATTATCTTTTTAAAAAGCAGTGATGGGTTGGAATTTATGCCCAAAACAAAACTCTTTGACTGCGTTTTGAGAGCCAGCGGCAGGCTGCTGTAGGAGGAGACAGTGATGGCTCAGGAAAGGCGACAGTCGGGAACAGAATCCATAGGAGCAGAAACTGGCAGTCAGGCTTCTTAGAGAGGTGGGGGGGGGCAGGGGCACGCCTCGTCCTCCCCACGGGGTGGGGCGCGGCCTCTCGAGCTCCTGCAGCAACCAGGCTACCCCGCCCTACTCCTTCCCTCCTCCTCGTGCAAAATCCAGGGTGTCGGGGAGGGACTGAGCTCTTACCTTGGCCCTTACAAGTGAATACCACCAAGCACTCTAAGAGCATCAGATGCAGTACAGAAGTACGTGGGGCTGGGGCCGGGAGATGGCTTAGTGGGATAAGCACTTCCCTGGCAAGCACAAGAGCCTGAGTTCAATTCCTGGTTCTCAAAAAAAAAAAGGACTAAAATAAGAGACGGACATGGGTTCAGGTCCAACACAGAAACATCTTACGTTACCGCCATGACTGCCTTAAAGTAACATGGAGCTGACCCAGTAGAATACAGGGTGGCCTGCCGTTTTCCCACACTGAGTCTGCACTGGGGATGGGACTGAGGTTTTCTTCCTCTCAAAAGCACTGTGTGGCTGTGTCCTCAAGCGTACAATTTTATTGGCATTCCAGAGTGTAGGTTTAGGGGCTGGGGAGATGGCTCAGAAGAGTAAGTGCTTCCCTGGCAAGTGCAAGGGCCTGAGTTCAATCCCCGGTTCTGCAAAAAAAAAAAAAAAAAAAAAAAAAAAAAAAAAAGCCAGAGTGTAGGTATAAATGGCAGTAAATTAATAAACAAATGATATATGGCCAGTTAGATATGATCATGACTTGAAGTAATTGATCCTAGCAGCATGTTCTGGTTGAAATAAAATTTCACATTTTATAGTCAATTCACTTAATTCATGAGGACATTAATTTAATAAATCGGGATGGACTCAGAACGTGGCTTTTCGAGAGGAGTGTGATTTCTGTGGACAGAAAGGGCAGGAACTGGAGGAGAGCTCAGTGCTAGACAGCTGGCCGAGCATGTGGGAAATCCAAGGTCCCATCCCCAGCTCTCAAACAAAAGAAAAGAGCAGAGGTGCAGAGGTGTGGTGTCCTAGAGGAGGGCGCTGGGGTACTGAGCATTTAGCAGAGCCCAGAGAGCCTTTGCTTCTCCCGTGAGGTGGAGAAATTGAGATAGACTGTTTTGTGGGGTCACCGGGCTTTGTGAAACGGTCGTGGTATTTTGGAAATTCCGCCCTGTCTCACTCCTACATTTTATTGGAATAGAGAGATCCAGGACAAGTTGCTCCTGAGTTCAAAGAAAACCTTATTTTCTCCTTTATGTTTTTCTATATTTGTTAAGTAATTTGTGATGAGTATTATTTTTTGGTAATTTTCCAATTTTTTTTTTGTTTTTAAAATTTTTATGGGTACATATAACGATAGCACTAGTCATAGGGAATTTGCACTTGCAGGAGACGTATCTTGCTGCAGCTTGTTTTCCCATTCCCTTCCCTCCCACCCCTCTCCCCCTGCTTACCTAGAAAAGCTTTGGTGGAGGCCTGGATGACTCTCCGCGACAGAAGAGCAGTAGCTCCATTTTGCTGGGCCTGGGCCTAGTGCCGGGTGCTGAGCTATGTGGAGCTGGCCGGGGCCTGTCCCCTCACTTAGCTGTAAGCAGTGCGGATGGTGCAACCTGAGAACAAGGGGTTGTGTGTGATTTTATACTATCTCCAATTTAGGTTTTATGTTGCACTTTTTGGCAAGTTCTGTTTTTTAAGTCTGAAATGCATATGCTCAGCCACCGTCTGTCTGTTCAAGTTGATGAGCTTCAGCAGAAGCAGCAGTTTGGTTTAGTCCTGGCACATTTCATTAGTCCAAGAAGTTAAGAGTTGTAGAAAACAAGAGAAAATAAATGGGTGTTGTCTGTTGGTTTTACGGGGTTAGACTGCGCAAGAGAATATATGTGGGAGATTTACAAAAGAAAGTTAGTACTGTCTTTCTGAGAAACAAGCAGAGCTAAGTGGTACAAGATGCTACTTGTATGTTACTCATTGGGGAAAGAAGTGTGTTTTACGTTGCTTTTGATAGAATCTTGTGACCAGCGTAAAAATGCCTTGGAATTGACTTCCCAGAGCTTTTACATACACATCTCAGGTCCTCTGTGTTCCTCTCCTTGGAGCTTTGAAGGCAAAGTCACTGTTGTTAAGAGACGACATTAATGAGTTTAGTGAGAAAGTCTTCATTTACATATAAATGTTTTTCCTTTGAGAAGGCTCTTTGGTACCTGGAACACTTATCACTGTTAACAGCTCGTGATTCATAGAACATCAGGGCAGAAGTGTTTTATTGTCCCATCTTAAGGGTTTCCTTATTTGTAAGCAATACTTTTCCTAGAAGCGAAACCTGTTTTATGTGAATTTATTGAGTAGAAAAAGCCTTAGAACTTATGATTTTCCTAATGAAATGTATTCCTTCTGGTGTCATTTAAATCTTACCAAGAAAAGTGAACCAACACAGTATTCTTAGCAGCTTTTGAGGCTTCCACAAGGGAGAATTCTTAAAGTCCACGCCTGAGGTGCTGAGAGCGGATTCTAAGTCGTGCTTGCTCCTGCTCCGTGAGCCCCCGCACTGCCCTCCTCTGCTGTGTGTGGCAGGCTCACCTGGGCCTCGGGGGCTCCCGCTGCGCAGGGCCAGGACTCCGGTAGATTTACTCCGCAGCCGAGCAAGAGCTCTTGCTGCTCTCTGGACGCACAATAGAAAACAAGTTAGCCATCAAAGTAGTATTTCTCCCAGAACCCAGGAAAGAAAATCTAGAGGGTAGGGGAAGCTTTAATTTTTCCTCCAGAATAGAATATGAAGCTTTCTCTTAAGAGCTAAACTCTGATGGTGACAGACGCAGAGCTCCAGTCCAGGGCAGGAGGCACTGCTGACCTGTGGCATCGCCGTGCTGTGCCCCTCTGCTGTGGCAGGAGGCTGGTCTCTGGTCTCGGGCTTCCTGTTCGCACCATAATAAAGTTAATCTTAAGTCAATTTGTTATTTAAAAAGAGCTGATGGTAGGCCAGGGATATAGCTCAGTGGCACAGGTGTCTGCCTGGCAAGCACAAGGTTCCGAGTTCAATCCTCAGTACTGCAAAAAAGTAAATAAAAGAGCTGATGGTTACCGTAACTTCTTTCACTAAATGAGAAAAGGCATGCACTGGGTGTTTGTCATTATGTTCTGACCCTCTGACCTGAGGGAATGAACACCTGTTCCCCGTGAAGAAAATGCCGTGTGCTGATGCTGTCCAGGAGAATCATGAGCGTGTTGGTTTGTCCAGGTGGGCAGGTCAACCGAAAGCCCCATCGACTTTGTCGTCACAGACACCATTTCTGGCGGCCAGCCCAGCGACGAAGCCCAGATCACGCAGAGCACCATCTCCAGGTTCGCCTGCAGGATCGTGTGCGACAGGAGCGAGCCCTACACTGCGCGGATATTCGCCGCTGGCTTTGACTCTTCCAAAAACATTTTCCTTGGAGTGAGTACTGGTGATCCCTACGCAGCCTGAAGAGAAACGCCCGTTATCGCAATAGGGAGGATTTAAATGCGAATTGTGGTGCCTGTTTGGCTTTCAGATGGCTCCTTATAGGTAAAAATCTGAAGACTGTGTAACAGCACCCATCATTTGTTACGTTTGTGTATGTATTATACTATGGACAACAGTCACTTTGTTATAGATTATACATTCATGTTATGTATAATGTATTTGTGGTAGATTTACTTGGTTTATTTTAGAATGAAAATAAATGGCTAAATCTAGATCATTAAGGCTCAGGGGAAAATATTAGGGAGTTATTCATTCAAAAATGTTTTATTGACATTTCTTTGTATTCTGTACTAGATGGTACAGATATGGATCACAGAGAGCAGAGGGCCCCTCTTGGGGTTTCCTTCTAAAAGAACCCCAATGTTTCAGTGATTCTGTGGCTTCACTGCAGTTGGATACAGTTAAAGGGAAGAATCCTGGTCATTGTGGCCTCGCCAGTAATAACAGGGTTGTCCCCACTGATTGGAAGTGCCCCGAAGGCCAGCTGCAGAGCCCTGCCCTGCCGTCTACCCCTCTGCCTGCCACCTCCATCTCCCCAGGGCTGGCCCCCACGGGGCTGCTTCCGCCTCCAGCCCCTGCAGCAGGGCTGCCTGGGAGAAGCAGAGGTGCAGGGCCTTCCAGCTGACCCAGCCTCGGGGAGGGGTAACGCTGCCGTGGCAGTCACGTGCAGCAGAGCCCCTTCCCCAGCCCCACTGTGAGCCCCTGCCTGGGCTTTCGCCAAGAAGCGCGAGAGTGGCCGTGGCGATTTGGGCCATGAGAGTGTGCCCGGGCCCTGTGCCCCCACCTCTGAGCAGGTCCACATTGATTGGTATGAAAACAAATGGCCACACCTTGTCAGCTTAACATTCTGTGTAATTTTGAACTTTGGACAAGGAGCCTTTTTATATACCTCCTTCTGCACCCAGATGAGGACTGCACAGAGAGCGCACTTAGTAATAGGACACCGAAAAAGGAGAGAGGCTGGCTTCCTGGACGTGGAGGCTCTGCACCTTGAGGGAGATCTGAGCATCGGCCTCTGTATGCACCGGAGGTGAAAATGTGAATCCGGTGATAAACCATTCATTTTAGCACTTCTTTCATGCTGTCAGAATAATTGCACCTTTTATCCTGTAAGGGTTACATTTAAATAGAAAATGCAGATTTATCCCTCTCCTCCCCTCTTCCTCTGCCCAGTATCATAAAGATTCCCCTTGTTTCCTTGTCACCTCAGTGTGTTCTTCTGCCCCACAGGAAAAGGCAGCAAAGTGGAAAAACCCCGACGGCCACATGGACGGGCTGACCACCAACGGCGTCCTGGTCATGCACCCGCGGGGCGGCTTCACCGAGGAATCCCAGCCGGGGCTGTGGCGAGAGATCTCGGTGTGTGGGGACGTGTACACCCTGAGGGAGACCCGGTCGGCGCAGCAGAAGGGCAAGCTGGTGAGTGGGTATAGCCAGCGCATGGGACCCAGGGGACCCCGTCCCACAGGACCTGACGCAGCAGGAACACGGAACTCAGCCGCCGAGCGCGCCAAGGTGGGAGCCGGTCTGTTCTTCTCCATCTTAGGGACGTCATCTTCGTTCTTTACCTCGCCATGCCTTTCTGCTGAAATCTGCTTTATGGAGAACAAACCGAGAGCACCACTTCACAGATCCAGAAAAATCTGAGCACTCTAGGACCAATTAGTGAGAATTTTCAGTGAAAGAGTAAGCGGGATTTTGTAGAATTCAAGAATAGTGAAGTGTCTTTTTCTTAAGTTCATAGTAGAAAATTAACAGAGAATTCTTTGTGTTGTTCTCCAGAGTCATAGTTACAATTTTTTACTGGAAATAACTCCGGCTGTGCTGACTTGGCCTATTGATGTTTTGCTGTAATCAACACCACTTACCTCCTGGCTTGATATAGCTGGGCTTGGTCCTTCTTCAAGATTTTATTTATTTATTTATTTATTTATTTATTATTTCGTACAGGGTCTCCCTGCGCAGCTCAGACTCATAGTGATCCTCCTGTTTCAGCCTCCCCAGCGCTGGGGTCCCAGGGTGCACCACCACGCCCAGCCTTTCAACAACATTGATTTTAATTCTTAGTGAGCTTGAGGCCTCTGACCTTGCTGTGGCCTGTAGCACAGCCTCAGACTCTTCATAAGCTTCCCACTTGTACTTCAGGGAGAACCTAGCGCAAGAGGGAGCCAGAGCCTTTTTCTAGAAGGTGGGGAAGAAGGAGTTCTTCAAAACTCCCTTAGAAAAATACCCAGGGAAATGACGATGAGGTCCAGTACTTTTCTGAGAAGATAACTAAATATTTATGGGCTAGAAAAAGCAGCAGAGGCCAATCCAAGCAGGCCAGTGCCTGCCTGGGATGCTTTTCTGCAGGGAGAGCAGCCGCCCCATTCTGTTTTCCACACCAGGGTTCAGCTCTGGCATAGCCTCACACCTCCTGGCATTGTGGCTAAAAGCCTCTGAGAAGCATTTTCTTCAGAAGCCAACGTCAGTAATTTGTCAGCCACTTTTCAAGACGTTGTTAATGAAGTGTGTAAATCAGACCCACATGTGCAAACGTTGTATTGTCTCACTAGTGAAAGAACCTGTGAATGGGTAAATAAAATCTGTAAGATACAATAGATGCTATGAAAGGGAAAGAATCTGTTCAATGGGAAGGAAAAACTGGGATTAAGAAAAGGACAAAAGAAAGAAGGGAAAAACATATATTTAGGTATATGTGAAGGATAGTTTGGATAATTGCACTGCTAATCTATTAAAAGGAGCAGTTAATGTTTTGTTTTTTGCGGAACCGGGGATTGAACTCAGGCCCTTGCGCTTGCCAGGGAAGCGCTTATCCCACTGAGCCATCTTCCAGGCTCCAGCAGTTAATGTTTAAAAAAATTTTTTTTTAATTCTTATTTTTATTTTTTAATTTCATATAGCTTCCTTTTTGTTTTTGTTTTATTCTTTTTTAAACAATTTTGCACATTTATATCCGATAACCTAAATAATTAATTTGAAGAAAACATTCAACACAGCAACCATTGTTGAATTCCTGTTATTTAATGAAATTTTGTATTGTTTCTAATGATTTTTTTTTTGTTTTTTGCTGTACTATTTTGTATTCTTTAAAAAGAAAATAAAAACGACTTTGTCTCCAATTGCTGGATAGTTTTACACAGGCCTCACCCCATCGGCCACCCCCAGCTGTGGGCTCCTGAGGACAGGCCTGTGCTCTGCTGGTCTCGTACACTCAGGGCCCCACAGGCTCTGTCTGACCCAGGGAAGCAGTGGTCCATTCCTGCCCACCACGCCTCACTGTGCTGCTCATCAGCTGTTGACTGGACCTGTACGACTTGGTGTGTGACACAGGGATCCTTGGAAACCATGGGCTCAAAGTGAAGGACACGGCCTCAGACCTTAGGAACAAAGAAGGACAGATTTGAGGAGCGTGTGAGGCAGGCAAAGGGTCACAGGAGTGTGCGGTACACTTTGGTAATGACTGCAGGCCTGAAGGGCTCCTCTTTGTGGGCCATGGTGAATCTTCATAGGGTGCCCTGCTAGGACATCTGTGGCCCTCATGAGATCTGTCAACTTCCAGAGTTGCAAATAAAAACAACCTAGGAAGATTCATGAAGTCCAGGAAAACCACAGCTAGCTGAGCTTATAAAGCCAGGTCCACTGTGCGCGCAGCTTTGTACCCTGGACAGATGTGATAAACGTGGTGTGCGGGTAAGGAAACTGAGGCTCCGGGAGGAGAGGCTGCTTCTCTGCTCCTGGGACAAACAGCCCCTCCTACATCTTCAAACGTGACATTTTGTGTGAGAGGAAAGTTGGTGAGATTTGCTCCATGGTTTGCAGGGTTTTGCTTTCAAACAGTGTCTGTCTATTCTGGTGCAGGTGGAAAGTGAGACCAACGTGCTGCAGGACGGCTCCCTCATTGACCTGTGTGGGGCCACGCTTCTGTGGAGAACGGCGGACGGGCTTTTCCATGCTCCCACACAGAAGCACATCGAAGCACTGCGGCAGGAGATCAATGCCGCCCGGCCCCAGTGTCCAGTGGGGCTCAACACGCTGGCCTTTCCCAGCATCAACCGGAAGGAGGTGGTGGAGGAGAAGCAGCCTTGGGCGTATCTCAGCTGTGGCCACGTGCACGGGTACCACAACTGGGGCCACCGCAGCGACACGGAGGCCAATGAGAGGGAGTGTCCCATGTGCAGGACTGTGGGCCCCTACGTGCCTCTCTGGCTGGGCTGTGAGGCGGGATTTTATGTGGATGCGGGCCCACCGACTCATGCTTTCACTCCCTGTGGCCATGTGTGCTCAGAGAAGTCTGCAAAGTACTGGTCTCAGATCCCGCTGCCCCACGGGACCCACGCGTTCCACGCCGCCTGCCCCTTCTGTGCCACGCAGCTGGCCGGGGAGCAGAGCTGCATCCGACTGATTTTCCAGGCTCCAGTTGATTGACGCCCTTCACAGTTACTCTGTAGCTCTGCCTTTCTGTAATGCTGTTGGCAGAGGGGAAGGCAGACTAGGCTGGCTGGGCAGGAGGGGACGCAGGGCGTGGTGTGGAAACATGGCGGCAGTGTCGCACACCCCGCGGGCATCGCGTGGTCCCGACTGCGGCCATGTCCTCAAAGTCTGCCCAGTTAAACCATAATCTCTGCGTGATCGTTAGCGGTCAGCTGCCCTGCTCTTATTTTTAACCTTGGGCTTTTAACCAGGTATTTTCCCTTTGTAAACTCAGACACAATTTTAAATCCTCTCTTGCAAGCATACCAGAAATGTGTTCACGTGTTATTGGCTAGTAGCGTACAACCTTGGTGTCACCTGAGGACACATGGTGTCCACACTCACTGCCGGTGCCCGGCATTCAGTCCCGGAGCAGACAGACGTGGCTGATGGCCAAGAGACCTTCAGGGCAGGCACCTGTCCTCAACTATGGGCCTTTTTTCTGGTTTATTTTACTGGCGATTTGTGGAGAGGGAGTATTCATCTGCGACTGCAGGTTTTTCCTACGGTAATGGAATTTACTTACCCACCCACGTCAGTTATTCAGCATTCCAAACAAAGAACTTTCCATGATGTTTTAGTCTGCATTTTATATTTCTGCTTCATACACTTTGTCCCCAACCCTCATCTTGCATGGCCAGAGCTGCTTGATTAGCTGCACACAGCAGCTCTTGGGTATCAGTACGCAGCACTGTGGCCGGGCACTGTGAAGCCAGCCTCACCCACACACGGAATATTCGAGATCTGGGAGAGTTCAAAGTGCACTTTTATGTTTTAAAACCACTTGTTGGGCTTTCCTTGGCTGTTTTGTCTTTAAGGAGTCAAAATGCTGTGAGTCCAAAGGCCACACCCTGCAGCAGTGCAGGCCCTTTTGTCTGCCCACTTCGCACCATCCGTCCCCTTCTTTTGCAGCTTTAGGAGCCCTAAGTTTTCACAGTGTTTGCAAATGAAACTAGATTTAAACGTGATCATTAGATATCCCCAGAACCGAATGGCACCTCAGTGGAGATCACTTGAGATTCCTGACTTAGAGCGAAGGAGTGTTTCCTGCGGAATAATTCAGTCAGAATTTTCTGTATGCTTTCCCCGCCCCTCTCTGTCGGCGTCTTTTCATTTTGATGAATAATTCCTGGGTGCTCATTTTTGTGCTCAATACCAGAGCACTGTTTCCAAAAACCGCAAATTGGGTGAGCTGAGATAGGCCCCTGCATGAGGAACAAGTGTCCCTTTGAAATAACGTCCTCTTTGGTGGATTATTGCAGATCTGAACTACATTTTTTAACTTTTGTAAATATATGTAATTTATATGATTCTAATATACTATATTCATACTTGAATTGGTTTTCCCATATTTTGCCTATTGGCAAGTATTTTGCCTATTTTTAATCATTCTAACCTGTTTGAATACTCTTTTTTCTTAAAGTGATAAGATATATATCTCTTAATTGCTGCTGCTTAATTTAACTTAATATTTTAAAAGGTCAGCCTGTCAGTTTTAAAATAGCTTTATTTTTCAATGGAGATCATTGTTTAGGATGGGGTATTTTTGTTCGGGTAATTTTTAAATGATGTGGAAATCCGACAGTAGTCCTCTTCCTGATCACCTCCTCTGTTCTGTGTAGTTTACCTGCAGACACACGATAAAATGTGATTGCCCACAATGATGTATTGAACACTGTCTGGCCTAGTCTCCAGCTGTCCCTGAGAGAGTGTCTTACAGTGTAATCCTTGGGCTCCGAGCACGGCTAAAGGAGGCACTTCCTCCTTTGTCTTACTCTATGACCTGAGGATTTCTCATACCCCAAGCTCATCAAGCTCGTCTTATGGGGTATGTGGCCTTGCACCCCAAAAGGCTGTATCTCACTGACCAAAAAAAAGGGTTGCTTTCTGGTAAGTTGTGCCCTGATACCATGTTTCCACATTCTTAAATATGTCTATCAAATAATTGTGCAGATAACTTATGCCCCAAATAATTATGACCTGTAGTAAACCCAAGATGGTTTAGGTACAAGCTGAAATGCGGGCAGTAAATTCTGAGCTCTTAGAAGGAGTAAGAGTGCCACACTTGGTCGGCTTCGCACCTTCTTGGGTCCCCCCTACCCTGCCCAAGCACCCACAGAGAGTGGCGCAGCGGCAGGATGGCAAGCCGGGCTCTCTGACTTGGCTACTTGGAGCACTTAGATGCCCTCATAGTTTTGACTGGTAAGATTTGTTTTCAGATTTGAAAGCAGTTCAGTTTGTTAAAGAACTCTGGCTCAGCAAAGTTGAGTGATGCAGCTGAGAAAAGGAGCCTCCAACATCTCTTCTGCCTCTGCCTCACTGTCACATCCTCACAGGACCAGAGCGGCTCCCCCGACATGCGCGCCCAGGAGTTGCTAGCCAGTGGGCCTGGCTGAGATGCCTTTTTTTAAAAGGTTCCCCAAAGTAAAGCCCAATCATGTAGTCCCATGGATAATTTTTTTTTGGTTGCTTGTATCAGTTTATTACAAACAAAAAGATTCAGAGTGGATGGTGTACAACTCTGAGTATTTTTCTAGTCGGGAATTTTTTATTAATAATCGGTGCTGCCGGGTCATGCATGCCGCAACACTTGGCGTTTCCTTCATTTGTTCCACTTCTCGTAGAAAGGGCTACAGTTCACACGGCAGAGGACTATTAAGCGTTCTGAGTTGTTGTTGTTTTTTTTTTTTCTCTCCCAACTGTGGCCCAAAAGAATTAAAATCTTTTAATATAAATAACATATTTATCATTCCTCAGTAGTTATTAATGATAGAGTTCGGTACCTTTGTGCCTCAGGGAAGCCACGTGTTAGAACTGGTTTTAGAAATTCAGGGTTAGGGTTTAGAGAAAGGAGAAAGCCATTGGAAAAATGATGGGCTCCAGGACGGAGACGAGAGACTCAATGCAGAAGCGTGCCAGGACCTGGCATGGACGTGATTGTAGTAGAATTTATTTTCCAGGACCAGTGGGGAAATCGTTTTAAGTTATTATATGTACTGTATTAGGAAAGTTGAAAACTTTTTCATCAACTTCAATGCCTTTTACTTTTGCTTACATAGAAAAACGCAAGCCTCTTGTTACTTGGGAGCTCAGTATTATTCGGGCACTTTAGGAGTGCATTTATGCATAATTTAAGTATAGTGTGGGTTATAGACTTGTCTGTAGTTCTGCTTTCGCTTAGCTTGTTTGTTCTGTCGAGCCCTTCTGTCCACTGGGTGTATGCGAGAGATGTGTGACCACACGGTGTCGAGCCGCACTGTCCCCGTGTGAGCTTGCTTCCTGACAGAGGAATTTCTCAGACACACCGGGGGACCTGGATCTGAAGCCAGTGCCACTCCGTCCCCTTGGCTGACCATCTCACGTCCCCACAGTGTAGCCTTCGCAGTGCTGAAGTTCCTCCTCCAGGACTAGACAGCACTGTTCTGTTGGCTTTTCTTTAAGACACAAAGACAAAGGAGATAACTTTAGGATCTTTTTC